TTTTTTTTAGTATAAGTTGTGGTTTTTTTATGCAGGAACTTAATGGGAAAAGGATCGTGTACCTGGACAACGCTGCCACGTCGCAGAAGCCTGAAGCTGTGCTGAATGCTCTGCGGAGCTATTACGAAGCTTACAACTCGAATGTGCATCGTGGGATTCACTATTTGAGGTGATTTAGTTAGGGTGTGTGTGTATGAAAGGCTGGAAAATGTAGTCTTTGTGTAGGTATAGGCTGTTCATTTGTCGGCTTTGTGTTTGTTTACAAGTTTTGTTGGTCGTATGTGTGTGTAGCGCCAAGGCAACTGATGAATACGAACTAGCGAGGCAGAAGGTTGCGAATTTCGTAAATGCAACAGAGTGTAGGGAGATTGTGTTCACGAGAAATGCTACCGAAGCTATCAACTTGGTGGCTTACAGTTGGGGCCTCACGAATTTGAAGAGAGGAGACGAGGTATGATCTTGGTTAATTTTGGCAGTTTAGTTCACAGTGGAATCATTGATGATTTAGAATTTAAGTTGAATTGGGTGTGACTTGGGACTTTTACGGAGTGTATAGTTGTAGACAATGATGGGTGTCCAGCGGTTTTGCTGATTGATTGAAAATTATTTGTATAAATCTATGTGTGATTATGTATGAAGTGGTTAGTTAATTCATGATTTTTCAGGTCATACTTACAGTAGCTGAACATCACAGTGCCATTGTTCCTTGGCAACTTGTGGCTCAAAAGACAGGTGCAGTTTTAAAGTTTGTAACTTTAACAGAAGGCGAAGTTCCGGACGTAGAGAAATTGAGGGAAACAATCTCGAGTCGGACAAAACTTATTGTTGTTCACCATGTCTCGAATGTACTTGGTGAGTGAAAAATTACCATTTCAAGGAAGGAACTTCAGTGAATTAGTTGAAATTGCTTTAGCGTCCCTGGTTCAATTTTCCTTTGTTTGTGAATTTATTTGTTGAAAGGAAGGAACCACCTTTAACCTTTGGTGTATGAAACTCATGTTTAAGTGACTTTAGTTTTCTTTCCATGTCATTGTGTGGTGCATTAGACTTTTGATATTGATTGAAAACGACAGTGTTGAGATACGTACAAGAATATAAAATTATAAACACAAAGTGCTCAATGCGTATACTCAACAAAAGCAAAGGTTTTGGGGTACCTAATGTGTTTTTCCAGGTTAGGGCTTCTCGAAAATCTTATGTAGGTGCACCTTTTCCTCTTCTTCTCTTGCAGCTTCTGTCCTTCCAATTGAACAAATTGTAAGTTGGGCACATGAAGTTGGCGCAAAAGTGCTTGTCGATGCTTGTCAAAGTGTTCCTCATATGGTGGTTGATGTGAAGAGCCTTGATGCTGATTTCCTGGTTGCTTCTTCCCATAAGGTGAAGTCATTTCCATTATGCTTTAACTCTCAAGTATCTTAGCGAGGATTTGAAGTGAAAAATAATCATGCTTCAGATGTGTGGGCCTACAGGCGTTGGTTTTTTATACGGTAAAAGTGAGCTCTTGTCTGCCATGCCCCCTTTCTTGGGTGAGTTCTCTTCTTTCGCATTTCTTTCATTTTAATTCTATTTTCCTTTTTGATCAGTCGTTTTGTTCTGTCTGGCTTCTGAATCTGAAAGAAGTCTAATAAGCACACTTTTGAGTTTTATTACATACTGAGTGAAACAAATAAGAAATCCTTCACTGCATGTTACAGTGAAGTAGTGAACTAATGAGATGTTTATGACATTATTCACAGGTGGTGGTGAAATGATCTCCGATGTCTATTTGGAACACTCAACCTATGCTGAACCCCCATCGAGGTCAGTATCCCATACAGAATGTCAAGATTAATTGGCTATGTGGAAGAGTATTTGTGCTCTATATGATCTGCCTTTGGATCTAAATTTGCATGCGAGTCTTCTTGACTAATGTACTCTCAACAATATTCTGTTTGATAGTCTAGATACATATACCATGCCTTCACTTTTCCCATTCCTTTCATAACGTATACTTAAGTGCATGCTGGTAGAGTATATTCTGCTCTCCTAAACTTCAATGCTTCTCATATTAAGTACTTATGTAAGTGATTGAATGGAATTTGTTTTCATTCTTTGTATGCTTTATGCTGTTTATTTTGTTCTTAAGTGAGTTTGGTGATTGCTGTTCTCTTGTTGCTTCCATATGAGCATAGATTTGAAGCTGGAACACCTGCAATTGGGGAAGCGATTGGGTTAGGTGCAGCAATTGATTATTTATCAGGCATTGGAATGCAAAAGATTCATGCTTATGAGGTAAATTTTGATCGCAATTTCCATTGTTTTACGTTTCAAGAAATGAGTTTTTCATGGGAAATTTGTTGTTTGTCTTTGCAAACGTCACCTTAAATCTCGGTAATTTTTGCCCTTCATAACAGTATAGCGTGTTATTTTTTTATCTGTTTTAACCGAAAGCTCGGGATAGATAATTTTGGTTCGCACTTCCATATGTTTATGATTGGAGTGCACCTCATCCTTCTGTCATGTGTCTGGATTTCTACAATGTTTGCTTGGATTTCTTAATTTGTGCCTAGACGAATCTCATCTGTAGGATGTAAATTAGTCTTACTTGATGCAAAACCAACTATAGTTAACAAATTAATTAGCCATATTTATTTTATTTTTCCCAATTGGCTCCCGTGCCATTCCAGGTAGAGCTAGCAAACTACCTGCACGATAGACTCTCTTCACTACCCGGCGTTCATGTCTATGGCCCACCGCCTTCAAAAACAGTGAACAGAGCTGCTCTTTGTTCATTCAATGTAGATGACATTCATCCAACGGACATAGCCACTTTTCTTGACCAACAGGTATGCACACATGATACCCGTTGACATTGATTTATTAGAACTTTATTTTTGCGATGAAAATATGTTTTCTACATGGTTTTGTATGCGAAATTAAGTTTTTTCTGACACACTGACTTTTTCTTTTTATTTGTCTTTTTATTATTTTTCATGGCTTTTTTTAATGCTTAAATTTTTGTTTCAAAATTGGATTTTTGCAATAAAAATATGTTGTTCTATTCAATAAAAAAAGGAACGAAATTTGTCGTCAACAATTTGTTTTGTTTTAAGTATACATCGTCTATGATGAGACTCGTGGAATCTTTTCGCATTTAGCTTCTAGTTTTTTATTTTTATTTTTCCTTTTGGCAGCATAGTGTGGCGATTAGATCAGGCCACCATTGTGCTCAGCCCCTTCACCGTTATTTGGGAGTGAACGCTAGTGCTCGGGCGAGTCTTTATTTCTACAACACGAAAGAGGATGTGGATTATTTCGTTAAAGCTCTCGAGGACACCATCAGCTTTTTCGGGTCTTTTAAGTGAGGATTTTTCTTTTCTGTGTGTGTGTGTGGAAGCTTGAGTTGCATTATGCAAAACAGCATCAAAGGTTTTTAGTCTGCAGATGTGACCTTAGAAATTGTCAGTCTTTATTCCTTTTTATTTGGGCACACAATGTAATACGCATGCTATTGCTACTTAGTAATAGCTCGAGAATTCTGCAAGTTGCTGTAGTAAACTTTTTTGAAAGAAATATAACATTTTTTTTTTCGAAACAATAGGAATCACTTATATTCACAACACAAATAAAACTAGAGAACAACTACTCAGCCGAATACAACAGCCGACGGCTGAATAGCTGACTTTAGAAGGGAGGACTACATGTACAGATAGACGACAACCTAGAGTCAGCCTACAATCCAAACACAACTAAAAAACTCCCAACGGGGAAATAAAAAAACTCCCAACAGGAGAATAAATAAAAACTCCTAATAGGAGAATACATAGAATACACTCTCAACGGGAGAGAAGAAAATAAAACATGGAAACAAAAACACAACACACAAAAACTAAACAAAACAAACAAAGTACAAACGTAACACATCCCTTCCCACAACCAGCAAACGCCCGGAATCACGCAACAGCACCAAAGTCGAGCCCAGCCTCGCCCCCCACCACACCGTCACTCCAATCCGAGCCCACACCACTTGCCAAAATCGGAGACGCCGGCCACTCTCTAATCCCGAGCACCAAGTATTCATTAAGAGATGATGAAAAGGGTGTTGTTAAAAAAAAAGTTAGTGAGACCATAAACAAAAATATATTATTTTGGGATAAGTATTCATTTTTGTACAAAAAAGGTAAAAAGATGATGAACTGATTTGCCTAATGATTAGGTCTACTTACACAAATACTAATTAGTTCTACTCACACAAGTATTTGTGGGGGTCAAATTTAAAAATTCGACCCCAAAAATGGTTCAAAACTCATGTTTTAACCTTGCTTACATAAAATTTGAAGATAAAAATAAATAAATAAATAAATAAAAATAAAAATTAAAAAAAAAAGGAAAGGCAAAATTAAGAGGGCTATATTCATTCTAACTTAAAGACTTATTGAGATCTTAAGAATTATGATGTAATCGTTTGAAATTTTAAAAAGTAGAAACAAATTATAAGGTAATTATTTAAAACTTCAAAAAAGTCTTAAAATATATGAGGTATTTATTTAATGTATTTAGTGAAATTCAATTTAACAAAATCAATGTGTTTAATGTACATAATTATTTTAGTC